CGTTTGTATCAGCTGTCGCGTTGGACTCTGAGCTTTGCAGGTAGGTTGTGCTTCAAATGGGGCCTGATGGCTTGATTGATGGGCAGTCAAGGTCGGCATGTCTCAGTCCTGACAGGCTGTCTTGTCTGTGTTCTCTGTCATGTCAGTTGTCGTCGATCCGGAGGGTCTGTCTCAGTTGTGTCGATTGGCGATTGACTTTCTTGGGTCAACAACCAGGCGGCCACTGAGGGGTGCGGGCCGATAAGAATCGGTCAAGAGACTCAAGACTTGGGCATGAAGAAATGGCTCCGACCACAGCGGTATGGATACCCATCGACTTTGGTTTCGCCCAGTGGTCGGCAGGTGAGATGTGGGTGGCATAGTCTGAGGCGGTGGTGGGAGAATGCTGTTGGCGAAAAGGAAATCGATGAGCGGAAAAAGGAAGCATACGTCCAAGGGTGAGATTGGCGGTGGGCGTGATGCGCAAGGAGTGATGTAGGGTTGACCGAGACTGACAACGTTGCTTTTTCCGCTCTGGCAACCTAGCAAGCCGCCTTGCGGGCCAAAATGTTCTCTTCTCTCCGCCTCGACCACTTCCTTTTTCCTCCGCTCTGCGACCCGCCCGCCTTTGTCGTGCCGTTTGGTTTTCTCACTCTGTTGCATAACACGACTTCGTTCCCTTCTTAGCCGTGGTTGTCGATCCGAGATGCGTCTCTTTGGGGTCCCGAACTTGGATGCAGTCGGTGAGGCAACGGGTTCGACAAGGACGGGAGTATGGGTAGACTCTAGGAACCAGCCGTACGCACGTAACGTCCCGTCCTGAATCCTTGACTGGTCTTTTTCTGCCTGGACGGTGGACCTGCCACTTACACGTTTCTTCTTGTGGGCAGGAAGCTCACAAACTTAGACACGCAGACAATAGAACATGCAGATACGCAAGCGTAGCTGATGCTGGCGCTGGTAATGGCTGGGTCGTGGTTTTCTCAGGTGCAGCAGCACCTGCCCAAGACAGCGAATCTGCACAAACACACCTGCCTGAGATTAGGAAAAACATCAATAGACACGCAGCGCATCTTGCCTCGTATGTATGGGATCATGCTGCGCGAAGCAGAAGGAAGGCACGTTGTATGCGAAGATCGCGGGTCGTTAAGGCCATGTGCCTTTGGAAAAAGCAAGGAGCACAAAAAAAGGGAAGCAGAGATCAGAGTCTCATTCCATGTTTGGCTGAGGTGCGGATACCTTTGGTGCGGTAAAGGTACCCAGCTTGGGAGGATGTACATACCATCCCCTCCTTCCCACCCGAGTCTTTCCAGTCCTTCGAGGCTTTCCCCAAGACCCCCCCCCCCCCAGCTTACCTAAGACATGGGGTACTGGGTACGTCGGTGTAAGTGGACAAGGCAGGCACGAAGCACTTGGAAAGGTATCCAGGTACGGAGTACACGCGAATACATCGACTCAACCCACCTAACCTCACTTTCATTCCTGAAGATGATTTTGACCGCATGTCCTTGTTCAAAGGCGTTCTGGGTGTTTCGATTCTGACCCTTCAGCCGTTTGCCGTTCTGCGCATGCGATCAATGCCTTAGTACAACACCACAGGTGCCCCCAGTTTCCAGCATGAACTACGTGGGAAGACACAGCCGAGGACGGGAATGTTTCTCGGCAATCTTCTACCAACGCGGACCAAGCTAACCTTGGCCTTGGTGCAGCTTGCGAATGCCCTCAGTGGGATCCACCCTCAGTCGGGATTCTTTACCTGTCCTCAATCCTCCCCGACCTTCGATCTGCCTTCCGACTGTTGCCTTCCTGCAGCTTACCGCCTCATCTCGATGCCTCAAGATGCTCAGAAATGAAAGAAAGGGAAAAAACAATGCAGTGGGCATCAGTTGCTGCAGGAGACGGCTGCCTTCTTCCCTGTCCTGCAGTCGTTCGCTCTTCTTTCCCATGCTTCTGCCAAGATGGGCACTTGCTTGTCATCCCTACATTGGCCAGCTGTTCGGCAAAAGTCAATAAGCTGAGACCTTTGTCCTGCCAGGTAACTCGTGATCTGCGTCTGTCATATCACGAACTAATGTCTTGCAGAACATCACCTGATCAGTCTTCCTTCTTGGGCCGCAGCATCAAGCATGTCGCCGCATGCCGTATGCCGTTCTCCGCCTACCGCCTCGCTGGCCCGTCATTCTCTCGCGATACCTGCGAGGCCTGCAAGGGGACCTACAGTGACCGTCAACTCGGTGTGTTGATACTACCCAATCCCCTCCTCGGCCACCTTTACTCGCCCACTCTCGCCTGCCAGCTAGCCAATCTGCATGGCTGTCACTGTGCGTGCCCAAAGCACATCAAACCATTCGAACCGAAAACCGGCCGTTGATCCAAGTATCCTCACACCCAGAGTCGCATCTCATCCCGCACTTCATTGCATACGGGCTGAGCTAAGCTGTTCATCCCTTGATTTGATCACGCTATCAAACGCCTTATCCGTGAAGTGAGTATACGGTATCCCTGCACTCACCCCCGGCATCCGTCTGCATCGACGGCAGAAGTCAAGTCAAACTTCGAGCTACAGCATACTGGCAACATGGCATTTTGGCCCCCATTCTCGACTGCTTGCTGGCTTGCTAATTAAAGGTCACGCTACCTCGACAAACAACGCCAAGACCACCCCGTCACCCACCAGTATGCATCATGTCCATCACCGCCGAGCCCTTCACACAAAAGGAACGCTTGAGGGACGGCTCGCATTCAGGCGTTGGACTGCGAGATACCTCTTCTGGGGTCGGCTTCTGCCGCCGCTTTCAGACGTTCTAACCTGGATGCACGAAGGCGCTTGCCTCAAACAACACCATCACTTCCGACATGGTACCATTTCGCATCATGGCACCCTTCCACTTGCTGCCCAATATTCTCAAATTGTGCTAGTTGCTTTGCTTTCTTGAGGCGTAAGCAGCTGGCTCCTGCTTCGACTCGATCTACTGGCTCTCCATCAGATCATGTTACGATCTGCCATTTTTCAGGGCATACAGACGACGCCCAGGCCCCCATCTCGAGGAGCGCAATTGCTATGTCTACTAGGCTGGTCTGCACACCGAAGAGCCACGAATTCCGAGCCTGGTAACTTTCGCAAACCTGGCCCGAATGTAGGCAACCCTTGCAGTATCACTCCGGGTCAGTATTGAGTTTCGTCAATAAGGGCGCCGGTGCTTCCTAGACGACTGAGTCATCTTCCTGTCCCAACATCTGGCAACAAAATGTCAACATCGTGGGATGTATCTCATGATGCGACCAAGCAATCTGCTGCTGCAGTTAGCATAGTTTTGGTCTGCAGCACTGACTACTACCCACTTCTATGGGGCGGCCCGATGCCGTCCACGACAAGTTCCCGCTTCAAAAACGCCCTAACCCTGGAGCACATTTCAAAATCTGAGCAGTGACGAAGCTCCGCCATGCATATGCGCCGGAAACGACGCGGTGTCCACGATCCAGGTCCCTTCCTTGCTGACTCGTTTCGAGTATCCCCGGTGGCACAATTGGCTAGCGCGTCAGACTGTTAATCTGGAGGTTCGTGGTTCGAGCCCACGCCGGGGAGTTGCTATGGTTTGACTCCATTGTACAAGGGTTGGCACGCATCTTTTTCACAAATTCTTTTTGCCAGCTGCTTACTTCAATGTTCGAGCTGGGGTATGTACGAATTGGATGCACCTCATCCCATTGAGATGATGTGTTTCGTTGACTATAAGCTAGGCACACTCTTCAGCTCACGGCGAGTTTAGCTTTTTATATATATGTATATATATAAAAGAACCTTCGTGGCACCTCATGCGCATGAGAGTATACCTTGAGTGTAAGACGATTGATTAGATGCACGTGTCTGTCCTCCTAGCTTCTCAATGTCCCCATAGCTGTATCAGCTAACTCCTCAGTGCAGATATACATGGCGAATGAGTTTCAGCTTCATATCTACAATAATGCAGGGTCTGCTGAGTACTGATCTGCTGGAGGAGCGCGAGCCTTGTCTTGTTAGCGACCTTGGAAAAGGAAATGAATTATGTTGTTGACCATACCCACGGGCATCAGCTGATCCTGGCTAGGTAGCCCTCGCCGCAAACCTTTCATGCCTTTGAGCTCTGGCGTTACACTCTTCGAACGCTTGCTTTTTGCTGATGATTGGAGTCTGTGCAACTGTCGGCTCAGGAATCCTTGTTCAGACACATGAAAGAGGAACAAGTAGTCCGTACTCACCTTCGGTCAGTCGACTCACCGGCTCGGTAGGTCGCCAGAAACAGGGTTCGCTCTGTCTACCTAGGAAAGGGGGTGCTTCTCCACCGCAGAATCACTAGGCTGGAAGCCTTAAAGCTTGACTCCCACATTGGGTTCTGCGCGCGCGCGCGCCCCCCTGGTAAGTTTTCCCCGTAATCAATATATGACATGTCACTTACCAACTCGTTACAGCCCTGTAGATCTCTCACCGCCTGCAAGCCCATCTCTTTTCTTACATTGACACCGTGAGCTGGGGGTTTGCAAGGGTGGCCTACACCAGAGCCAGCAGGATGAGCAAGGGGACTTGGCATCCTAGCCTGCTCCCTAGGAGCGGAATTTCCGGGCTCAAACTATATCCTAACAGGGTTCGAAGGCCAACTCCGTATTCCACACGTGCTTCTTGGTTCCGTCAGTCCGCGAGTGTACAGATATGAAGACATCCAACAACTATTCTTCAAGCCTGGCAGGTGATGTCAAGCGCCTGGGGAAAGGATGGCGTCACGTCATACGACTATTGTCACGACCAGACGTCGTGCAATTATCCCCGCAGGCTGCCCGGCTAAGAGCAACAAACCTGGCTAAGGTCGCCTTGCTCTCTCAACTTGGCATCCATGCTTGACCTTGGAAACTCCAAATGGGTGGCTAACTGCCCTTGAGCACTCCCGTGGTCGACTAGGGGGTCCGGGGCGTCCGGATGCCTCTGTGCTCAATACTTCACGGGAAACAACAAGGTGACGTTACGGTTGCTACGATACGTGGCTGCCATGGGTCCCACTCCAGGTCCTAGAGCCAGTGATTACTTGCTTACACCGCTGATTAGACCGCAGCAAAGTTCATTGTCAGCCCAGGGAACCGTGAGCCTCAATACGGTTGACGACGTTCTGAACCCTGCTCATAGGGGTGGTTCGCCCGTTGACTCACCGAAGTTCAGATCAAGGCATATGCCACGGTTGGTCAGCCCTAGACAACAGACCTTGACGGGCCGGGCCATAGAAGCTTTCGAGCCACCCTTCACAAGGCTCAGGGGTGAAAGTGTTTGAATTATCCGAGACTATTCTGGAACTTCTGCTCCGTACCGACAGGAATCTTATTCTGCCCCCCCCCCCCCGGATGCTGAAGGTCGTGGAGTCTTTGCCAGGCGCTCTTCCGTGTGGTCAATCGTCGACACAGCACCACAACACCGCGGACACGTCAGACCGGAGGACTGACGTGGACACAAGGAGCCGTGATATATTGACAACCCTGGAGACAGAGACACGCGGCATAATATCACTGATAGAAGACACCTGAAATGGATTTGAAGATGTGTGATGGCGAGCTGGACCGTCGTTTGCACCTCCAAGAATCGAGTCGCATTTGTCTCTGCTCGCGCTCTAGTATATTCCTACTCGTTCTGTTTTCCTATTTTGTCAGGGAAATCTTTTTTTACAAAGGAAGCATCAGGGGATTAACTGCACAGCGTTCAGACAGCAACCTGTGCCGTGTATGCTGCCTATTTGGTGTACTTCATCACTCACTGTGGCATATATCTTGCCGAGAATAACATTGGACGCACCTTCGGTAAACATCCGCCTGCCTCTCTAGCAACCCACATAATGCAAAGGTTGGGCGTATGCACGTTATCCGTACATTGATCGCCATTAGTACTCTGTCACAGCGGGTATGATCCAGGAAGGACAGTGTGACCTTTGCTGTGTAGATGTAACCGCTGGGTTCCGGTTGGTTATCGCCCACTTATTTGCTGCGGAACCAACCAACGAACTATGGTTGCGCATTCTTGTGTAACAGAAGAACAGAAGATTCCATTCCTGACGTTGGCGACAGAGAGTCAGGCTTGTGGTGGTGAAGAGGCAACACTGCATTAGCACCAAGGGACTCACTACGCAGGCGCGGTCCGATGAGCCTGGGACAGATCTATTTCCAGGGTCAATCGTCCAGTCACTAAAGACAACCCTGGGAAAACGTATGAAAAGCTGCCAGACTTAGCAACGTCTCAATTCCTGCAAGCTCTAAGCCTCCAGAAAGAAAGTGGCACGTGGCACAACTGGACGGACCTACGACGGCAGGTCTCGATACCGAAAAGGGCAGGGTACTGCAGGTCATGTTCACCGAAGCTCCCTCTGAGTGGCTGATGTGTCAACTCGGTGAAAGCACAGGCATGAGTAGCTCGGTACGTGGTGATTAGGTCCCTGGTACATGTTTGTGCGAGGGCGCGGAAGAAGACGCGAAGGGGGCGCGAAGACATGCATCAATGTAAGCTCACCAAACACGGGATGTTGATTTGAGTAGCACAATGAAAGACGCTTCATGCCCAATGAATGGACTGGATCGGATAGATTGGCGTTGGACAGGCGGAACGAAGGGATATGACTCGATCTGTTCAAACAATGGTCGGGGGATACGGAAGACGCTATCCGGCTTTCGTTCCGTTTATAGGGACCGGTAAAGAGAGGAGTAGAGAGAAAGAGAGTAATCTAACGGCGAGTAACTTACATCGATGCCGGCCTACTCAATCTTGCCTCGTGCGTGCGAGTTATCGAATGCTGTGCTAATGAGGATTTAGATGGTCGGGGAGGACGACAGGCGATGCTGCCATGCGCGGCGTATAATATGTAGCTGCCTACCTTACTTTACATGTGCCAATAGCTTGAAGGGAAAGTATCCATATAAGGTAAGGTAGGTGTTTATGGATGTGTATAGGTAGGTAAGTAATACGGATAGGTAGGTACGAATGAATATGTAGGTATTCCGTAAGGTAAGTCAGGTAGGTAGTCAGTCAGTCGTATGGTGTGACGCACGTTTGCAAACGGGGTGACGGGCTGTCCCCACAATCGCCCGCACGGTGTGTTGCACAAAGACCGACACTGTACCTCGGTTGCGATTTCATCACCGAGATACCTTCATTGTGTGAGGGACTCGCTGCTTCAACTCCCTCGGTTCGACATGACATTTGAATCCGTACGACATGAGTAGATGAAGTAGAATGAGGTAGCTGGAAAACACGAGGTTGTAGCTGCTTGCATACCCCTAAAGCCATGCTGTGGCTACCTACGCACCGAGTCCTCGAGCGATCGTGTCTGTTGGTCGCCGTCTCCAAATCTGGTAGAGGCTATCTGTCCCGGCCATCCAATGCTTGAGAGCCACAATTTGCATCGGATGAAAAGAGCCTGGAAACAAGACCTGCCAGAGGTACTAGTCCGAGGTACCTTTATTGGAAAAGGACCCGGCTACCTACCTCAAGGTAGGTACCGTCCAAATCACCGGCTTTTACACTGTCCACCACCCTCCCGCCAGCTTCTTTTGACGACCTCGCCCCATTCATCCCTGACCGCCGCACCGGCCCTAGCTACTTTACACCACCTTACACCAGTGAACACGGAGGGTCCAACGCTACGCTGCCTTACCTCCCTCACGCTCCGCTCCGCTTTACCCATTCTCCATTTAGCCCATAGGTCTGCGGAGGAGACAACGACATCCAACTAGTTTTCTCCCCTCTCCCATCTCCCCTCGGGTTTCACAACATCCCTCACACGCACCACTTGCTCGACTGCAACATCCCGGGCACTAGACACGAACCACGCACGCGGCCATACAGAGAAGCAAACTACCTTACATAAAGCACACGCATACGGACGACTGTTGCAAACCCGCGCATCGCATCGCATCGCATATCGCGCATATCGCCGACCAGTGACCGAACCAAACACCCAGCATCACAAGGAGACAACATGGCTGGCAAGAAGGGAGCAGGTGAGAATAGCAAAAAGGCTGCCGGGAACGCCCGTAAGGCCGACGCTGCTGCACAGAAGGCCGCTGCCGAGGACGCGAAGAGGGCTGCCGTTGAAGACGCTGACTGGGGCAAGGGCGCCAAGGGAGCTGGAAAGAAGTGAGTAGGAGTCACGAACAACGTTACGGCAACCTCCCCTCGGCCGCCACGATGTGGTGCCCCACATGTGACACCACCGGCTTCCATGCATCACGTTTCCCCATCTCTCGAGATCTCCAGTACCCCACAGAGAGGAAACCAACCCAGTGCCATGGCTGACCGCATCATCCATCTTTTAGGGAAGCGGAAGCCGCCAAGAAGGCAGAAGCAGCCAGAAAGAAGGCCGAGAAGGATGCGCTCCTGAAAGAGGAGGAGGCCAACACCCCCGGACGGACTGGACCCAAGAACAACAAGACGGCCGTCAAGAAAACACGTGGGCTCGATCTGTCACAGTTGGACGGCGATCAGAGCGGAGGCTCGCTTGCCGCGCTCAACGCCACCGGTATCGACAACGCCCTCGACGCCCTCTCCCTCACAGGCTCCGACAACAACGCAAAGATTGACCGCCACCCCGAGCGACGTTTCAAGGCGGCGTACGCAGCATTCGAGGAGCGTCGGCTCAAGGAGATGGAGGACGACGGCTCGGGCCAGGGCCTGCGTCAGCAGCAGAAGAAGGACAAGATTAGAAAGGAGTTTGAGAAGAGCCCGGAGAATCCCTTCAACCAGGTGAACGCGAGATTCGACAGTACCAGGGAGGAGTTGGCCGAGATCAAGGCGAAGGAGAAGGGCAAGATCGAGGCCCGCCTCGGGAAATAATGGCCCAGTAAGAAGCATCTCGCGCAAGCCTCTCGCGCAAGTCATTATTCATCCCTTCGAAGGCATCACTGCTTTGGGGGGCTACACGTAAACGTGGCACAAAGATGCCAGGGCTGTAAGAGTGACGAGCATCAGTCACCTGCATATTGGGATATCAACTCTCGGATGTGAATAAATCATGAGACCAAAATTTTACCCCTCTATTTCTGAATGGATCGATGCCATCGTGGGGTTTCCTTTTGCCCAAACGTCATTGTTGTGTGCATGGCCGAATCACGTTGCGATTCGCGAACCCTCGTATACACAGAAAATTGAGAACTCAGTAATTCACGCCTCATCCACTGAAATTTCTCTCCGCCCGAGCCGCCAGCCTCGACAAGAGTGACGCCGACGCGACGGCCGAGATGACCGAGATCGCTACACCTGCCGTGAGCACTTTTTGGCGGGGTAGCTTGTGACGTACAGTGGAGGTGGGGTGAAAACAGCCCTCACTATCACCGATAAGATAAGATTGCGCTTATCACGATAAGGAATTGGGTCGGCAGAATTTCTTACCGCTTTTCATGACCGCCCTTGCTTCACGCATGAATGAGACATTGTTCAATGTCTCAAGACGGGCTTCCTCTCATCGCGGCACATTCATCCTCATCAAGCCCTTATTTTTGATGCTTTATTTATAAGAAAAAATGGCGAGTCTACGGATGGGCAGCATGCCGTCGTTGCGGCGACAGCACCTCCTGGCCGAATTGTGAGTTTCCCCCAAACCCAGACCCCATCGAGCGTCACCCCCTGAGGTCTGATTTAAGCGTGCAAGTTGCTAACCTCTGTACACTAGTGCTGGCCTGAAGCAGGCTTGTCCGGAGGGGGTCTTTGTGAGCTTGACGCCAGGAGACCCGATGCTATGGTCCGGCGTCATGTTTGTGAGGCACGGTATGGAAGCCCCCGGACTTTATTTACGATGAGAGAGGAAGACCCAGAGTGAAGAGAGGAACGGAGAGAAGACTGAGACTTATTCGCAGGACCCTACGCTACGGCTATCCTAAGATTTCAGATTTCGTTCCCAGACACATATCCTCGACTACCGCCACTGGTCACTTTTTCAACAGACATTTTCCACCCCCTAATCACACCATTAACCACGTACATGTACACCACCGACATTCAGGACAACGGCACGGTAAGCGCCACCGACGCAGAGCGCCTACCGCCCGGAGGTTTCAGTCTACGACATGGGTTTCCCGCTTGGTTTGGGCGGGGCAGCAAAAGCAACGCGGGGAGCCGACAGGTCAGCGGCCAGCAGCAACAACAACCGCCCGCGACGCCTGCCAGAGGCGGTGGGGGGCCATCCAGCACTACGTCGACGCCGAGCTCAAAGGCGACGCCTCTCGGAGGACGGCCTGGGTATCTCGACACTTCGAGGCGAGAGGTCTCCACGTACGAGGTCTTGCGATATATCCGGAGCACGTTCGATGACGAAAAGGTGCTAGACTCGGTGCCTCTCGAAGCTGCGGGAAACCCTGGCGCGTGGCATGCGTGGCGGACACGTCAGCGACAGACGGGCAAGAGTTTCCCTGGCGATCCGGTACCGCAGGAGAAGAGTGAAAAGGAGCAAGAGAGCGACAAAGTGGCAGAGGCTGCTGATGGTGCTCAGGAGAAGAAGGAAGGCGAAGCGGAAGGGGAAGAAAAGGTGGAGGAGGCGCCGCCTCCGCTGCCTGAGAGGAAGCCTTCCACCAGCGGGAGTGTTCACTCCATTGTTAGGAAACCTATCGGTAGTGCGCCTTCCGTCTCCAGAAAGCCTGGGGAGTGGAATTGGGAAGGCGTTTGGGAGGATAGAGTACAGAAAGGCATCGCGACGTCCCTGTCTGAGGCGGTCTTGTACGGGGCGACGTCGGGTGGGGATGACCTGGTGAGTGACCTTTCTTCTCTTCAGATGCGTGAACCATGGACCTAGGACGGCTGCTGACCATGAATGACAACAGATCAACTTCCTTGCAATGGAGGAAGGCGACGTGGACGCTGTGAGAGAAAATTTGCAGCGTACACTGGGAAGCAGCCCGGCGACACCTGAAGAACGTAGAAGCATGCAGGGCGTGCCTGCGTCGGAATGACGGATTTGACTTTGCTTGAAAGCGACTACCTCTAAAACTTCATGACATTACCTAGCTCACCTAGCATGCACGTTCACCTTTCCCTGTAGCGGATGGGATGTAGACTTGCCTGCGTAGGTACATTCTCCTCTTCCACATAGCCTTACTACATACAACTTTTCAATGGCCCCCGAATAATAGATCATCATTCCAAGACGTCAGATCATCACGTACATTACTTACCCTCTTGTTACTTCGACTATGGGCCTCTCAACTCCCGTAGCCGCAGTTCTCATCGTTCTCGTCACCGTCGTACCCATGCTACTCATCGCAGGCTTCACCGCCCGCTTCATCTCACGCAACTTCAGGGACGCAGCCGGTGCCATCGAACCCAAACCGGCGAGACGCTGGTTCGGCTTCCGACGCGTCAAATCGAACGACAGCGCCACCACCAGCCTCGCAATCAACACGCTACACTACGCCGACTCGTGGCCGGATCTCGAAAGTCTCAGGACGTACCAGGACACGCCGACACCTTCGATCCGGCGCGGCATCCACGAGGTAGCCTTGGTGCCCCAACAGGCCATTACTACCACGGTCCAGATCCAGCCGCCACCCGAGACATGGCATCCCTCGAGGGCCAGTCGTTTGAGCTGGAGTTTCTCGCCGACAAGGCGGAGAACGGATCGGAGAGGGGCGGTCCCGAAGTCCCGCAGCCGCTCAAGGTTCTCAAGAGACTCGGGCGTGGTTCTGGAGGGGAGTTCCGAGGAGATGCAAGCGGCTCGCGATCAGTTGTCGAGACTGACGAGGGTGTAGACGGTGTCTCGGGACCGTTTGGCGAGCCACTCGTTGTGAGGAAGAGGCGAGTGAACCATGGGACCGGGAAGATGCCTCGTTCGAAGAATGGTGGCTAGGAACATTCTTCACCCAGCCGACGGCCACAAGCGCATCGTGAGTCTGGATTTGAGATTGAATAACACTTGCTGATCTCAATCAGGACCACCAGCTTGGGATAAATTCGTTTCATATGCTATTCCTGGGCCACTCGATGATGGCCTTGAGGCAGTATCCCAAGCACCACAACGCGGTGCTTCTAATTTTATGCGGTCTTCTAGTAACTCGTCTCTGGCTGCTCAAGCAAGCACTTCATATCACTCAAATATTTCAGGAGAGAGAAACACGTCTCATAGCTCCCTTGTGCTCGTACCGAAGATTCGTATCACCCCAGAAATCAGGGCTCTCGATGGCAGCACGGCAAGCTTCTGGGTTGCCGTCGAGGTTTCAGGCCAATTGTGTCAGCCTCTCAACGGCTTACTCTGCGATGATACCTCTGCTGAATATGAGTCTGCCTTGCTGAGCAGACTCAATGATCAATCTTCTACAGGTACGTAGACGTGAATTTCGATGTTGATCTCCATGCTAACATCAACTTAGATCCTTTCAGGCATGGGTGTATTCACAGCATGGATATCCAAATCGTTCCGCTTGGAAACAGTTGTATTCTTGAGACAATTCGGGATAATCCTATCCAAACGTGAGTACTTTCACCGGGTGTTTCTGATAATTGTCTGATTGTGGCACAGAACACTAGGTAATGACGATATTGTACTGCTGCTCGCGCAAGTCCTAGTCAAATCGCCTCGCTCCACTGCCGTGGCTACGCAACAAGGCCATGTCAAACACAGGTCAGATGAGCTGATTGATGACTTGGAATATCAGTTAGGAGATTCAAACCTCGAGTATATACGCGTTTCGGTCAAGTACAACCATTCAGCATTCTTTTGCCAAAGTCGAAATGACATCATCGACAACATAGCAGAAGGCGGCACAAAACTAGAAACGTTTGCTACGGCCGTCGTCAAGCAACATAATCACCGATCACCATGGTCCCCAAGTCCAGCACCAACATATAATCCCATTGCGAGCATCATCCTTGGAAATTGGGGGCCATCGAAAGCTCGTAATGTGATTCATCGTATATCACCACAGAGGCCCCTCAGGGCGAAGTCCAGGATGGACTTGTCTTTGGGAGACGAACCAATGGATATGCTGAGCCCTCCGGTAATTCCTAGGCGAGAGGCAAGCCTCGGTAGAGACGTGACAGTCAGAATACCAGACGCAATGTACAATGGGTGGTCTGCCGGGCGTCGGAGGACGTTGGCAGTGGACTTGGACTGGGGTAGGCCCCGCGCGGAAGAAGTCGCGGAAGAAGGGAAGCGGTGGCCATCAACTGCAACGTGCCCCGGCGAGGCGGCAACCGGAGCCGGATTCAAGAATAGGTTTGCGAATCATTTGACCGCATTGAGAAGCCCGCGCTCGATAGGCCCGGGCGTTTTGAGAGGCTTGGCATCTTCAGTCGCCGGCACCCGAGATGAAGGTCATGAAGCAGAGAACAGACAGGCGCATGGAGGAGAGTCCCCTCGCGGCCGGGGAAGAAAGTCATTCAGCCGTTGGAGTTGGACGAGCTGGTGGTCTTGAGAGGGCTCGCAGCTTGTGCTTTTTCAGTCTTGGTTTATAGGAGTAGGAGGCATACATACACACGTGTGCGTCTAAGAGTATTCGAATTAGAAGCACCCGAATTACGATTCGTATGGTGTTCATTCACCCTTTTCACTATGATTTTGTCCGCTGACGCCTGAATGTTTAATGCTTTTCTTTGTTTTTGTTTTGGTATACGGTTTTATGGTTTTACGTTTTACTTTTTTACTCGATTTCATGCAGCCGTCCTTTACTGCAACTCATCTCTCCAAGGAATGGATGTTTGCGCGCCCTTACGCTCGACCGTCTTAGCCGCCGCATTGTTGGCGCTCTTGATGGCGGAGGAAATGTCGAAAGCCACACCCTTGGCCTGGGCAGTCACGGCGGCAACGCAGTAGGAGCCGACAAAGGTGTCGCCGGCGGCGGTGGTGTCGACGACCTTGACCTTTTGGGCGGCGATGAGCTCGGCAGCGCCCTCCTTGTTGGCGTAGTAGACGCCGCGGCCACCGAGGGTGATGATGACGTTGCTGACCTTCTTGGCCATGAACCACTCGCCAACGCGCTTGAGGCCCTCGGGGGTGTCGAGCTCGGACTCGTCGCAGCCGGAGAGGATGGCGGCCTCGGTCTCGTTGACGACGAGATGGGCGAGTCCGTCGTAGGCCTCGTCAGGGAGGCGCTGTGCCGGAGCGGGGTTGAGGAGGACGGGGACGGAGGCGGCCTTTGCGGAGCGGAGGGCGGCGAGGACGGTCTCGAGGGGTACCTCGAGCTGCATCACCAGCAGGTCGGGCTTGGGGTCGAGGGTCTCAGGGAGGGCGCCGAACTTTTCGGGGGTAACGGCGTGGTTGGCCTCGGGAGCGAGGATGATGCGGTTCTGTCCGGTGGGTTCATCGACGACGATGATGGCCATGCCGGTCTTGAGGTCGCTACCCACGGCGATGCGATCGGTGCGAACGCCGTGCTCGCCGAGGTTCTTGAGGAGGAGGTCGCCGTAGGAGTCGCTGCCAACGGCGCCGATCATGGAGACGGAGGCGGTTTCGGCGGCGGCATCGTTGGGGGCTTCGCGGGAGCGGGAGAGCTTGGCGCAGGCGACGGCCTGGTTTGCGCCCTTTCCTCCAGGCGAAATGACAACAGAGTTCGAGGTGAGGGTCTCGCCCGGCAGGGGGTGGTGGGGGACGTAGGAGGTCAAATCGATGTTGAGGGAGCCGAGAACGGTGATCTGGGGGGTCTTGGTGGCAGCCATTTCTGGCAATTCGATCTTCTTTCTCGGTGTTCGGTTTCTCGTGTTTTCTCTCCTCGGCGATGAAGATGATCAAGATGTCGCCAACGTCAAAGACAACCTGAAAAGGCAACCTGAGATATTTTATGATTCGGATCGTGCGGTCGCAATCGGGTATCTTAATGAGACAGAGGCCTCTCTTTCCGAGCGAAAGAATGCAGCTCGGGTACTGAGGTGAGATAACGGTAGATCAGGTGGTGAGGGGCAGAGAAATGGATGTGAGGCATTGAATTTTCCCAGCCGACGAACGGTGACAGGACCCCGCCAAAGCCAACGCCAACGGAGGTGGGATGATGATGCACTTGGCGGGGCATTGGCTGCCAGGTTCGCGGTTGGAATTCTGTAGCGTAAGGGTGGGAGGGGCAGCCGAGTGATGTTGCAGGGGGGCCGGGTGGGAATCCTCTCCATGGCCTGCTCGAGGGATTGGCCCTACGGACCGGAAGGGACCGGAAAGAGATCCAGTCTTTGCAGTCTTTGCAGATAGTGCATCTTTGGGTTGTTGACGTTACTGGAGAATTTCCACAGAAAAAGCTGTCAAAGCAGGGAAAACAGACAAAAGACAGGGTCCACTGTCGGCTAGTTTTTCTCGCTACTGGCTCTGGTCAGCACGATCAGGTCGTTTGAGGCCCAGTGCTGTGCAGTGATTTGATGTGGCAACGCGATACGGTTTCTGACAAGATGTCTATCCGCAGGAATAAAGAGAGATTCAACCCGACACCTTACCTTAGTCAGTTAGAGAGACAGATGCCATGCCTAACATGTCCCCCTTCCCCAATTTTTCCATCCCTAGTCCTTGCCGAAACAAGGCGAAAAGACTGACACCTATGACCTTGGGAGTTCGCAGTTGGGAGGCTGGCACACTGGGCCAGGTACTCCGGACACAGCACATACACAAATAAAGAGCCGAGCCGAAGAACGGTGCCACCTTTTAAGGAGTGGAAGGTTAGTGGAAGCGTATCCGACCCCCTTACTCCGTACCCGTACCGTTCATGCTCAATCCGATCGGGTGTTGCAATGGAACCTGTCAGGTTGTCTTGCCGTCCATTCCTAGACCTTCCAGAAGTTCCAGAAGTTCCAGTCCATCCACCAGCCACCGGACGTCCGCCGAGACGGGCGGGATCTTCAGCTGCTGGGGAGCCATCCATGGATGCCTTGCTCCGTAGACGGGAGAGAGAGAAGGGTCTGGACCTTTGATGTCCCCGTCCGTACTCCGTACCTTACCCAGCAAACAAATCTCGGCCTCCCCTCCGCTGCCTAGATGAAAGAGTACTAGAGCAGCAGCCATCTTTTCGGCGCCATGGGCGGAATGGCTGCGCTGTTCTTGCCGTGCAGCACTCGGCATCCGCTGACACCGCCGGTTTGGGCGCCGGCTTGAACCGACCGTTTGTTTCGTTCTGTTCGACACGTGGAAGTGAACGACATTACGCCGGATTAGACTTTGAGGGTGCATACGGCATACCGTTAGACTCGATCCCCTATTGTCTCCCACGCCCGCCACGCCATGCTGCATTTGGCGCGCCGTCATGCCTAGGTCCAGGCCGGGGTTGTGTTGGTGTGGAATGCGAGTGCGGCGTGCGTATGTGTGTGTGTCTGAGTCTGTGTGTCTATGTGTGGGTGTGTGTGTGGAGGAAAAAGTGTAGATGTTGTTGGGTCAAGATGGGATGAATGACTTATTTGAGAGAGACAGCGTGTGTGAAGGGACAGAGACGGAATGGGAAAGAGCAAGAGAGACCGAGAGCAAACACCAACATCCTGAACAACTCAAGAAACTGCCCGGGAAAAGCAAAACCAAGAGAAGGCAAGAAGAGAACGAGTGACTTGCGACGTGCCTTCCCTTTCTATGTCACAGAAGTACCTTCCTTCCCTTACCTTCCACTACCTCACTACCCATCTGCCTCTGCCTGTCTGAGAACGTAAGGTAGGCACGCTCCTGCTCTCTCTCCCATTTCTGCCTCCAGTCATCAGTGGAGAGGTGCTTGCCCCGTCTCCCATCCTGGAAGGCTTCCACCTTCCATTGCTCGACACACGACACACGACACTGCACTCTTATGCGCTCCTGGACCAAGTAGGCAAGGGCCATGTCCTAGACCCAGATGGCCGCCTTCTTCCCGTGTCTTTCACGAATAAGCGGCTTCCTATTCACCGGTTGCCCAAGCTCCATGCCCTTAGCGTCGACTTCATTCACCTTCGACGGCTCTCCTTTGCTGGATGTCTGTTTCCGACTTCAAAACAGCTCTTTACCTTATTCTCAGGCCTCTGTGCTCGTTGCAAGTTTGTCCGGAATCACATCACCGGACTCCTCTTGCCTCTCTTGCTGGTGGACTCGGACCCTTAACCCCACCAACTTCGACTTGTCCAACTTCACAATTCCAATGGACTTGACCCAAAGCACCTCAGCATGGACTACAACAGCCGCTTGTGTAGCTATTGTAGTCCTCCTCATCTTGATAAGACCGCGGTCATCATGGGGCCATCCGCCATTACCTCCGGGTCCGCCGGGCGAGTTTCTCCTCGGCCACCTCCGTGTTATACCCAAACAGAACACTGCCCAAACATACGCAGAGTGGGCAAGAAAGTATGGTGAGTCTGCTTTCTCCCTCTATACACCTCTTTGAGAGTTCTTCGCGACTAACGTAATAATAGACTCGGATGTCATTCACGTCAAATCTCTCGGCCAATCCATCGTGGTGCTTAACAGTGTCGAGGCTGCCAAGGATCTTCTCGATCGTAGGGGGGCCAACTACTGTGACAGACCCAGATTCACTCTGTTTGAGGTGTAAGTCGCCCCGACTTCGACCCTGAGCTATCTTGTCGGCATGCTGATGCAGGCTGTCCCCTCCTTAGCATGGGCTGGGGCAAGACGCTGACCTTCCTGCCCTTCGGACCCCGCTGGCAGATGCACCGAAAGCTGCTGCAGACCACTTTCAGTAACACCAATGTCCGGCAGTGGTACCCTCTGCAGGTCGCCGAGGCCCGCAAATCCGTTCATGGCATCGTCAGCAACCCTGACAGCTGGCAAATGTCCATCAAAAGGTGAACCGCTTCTAGGCTTTGGCTGACTGTTGATACGTAGCTGACCATTCCAGATTCGCCGTTGCTATCGTCCTCAAAGTGAGCTATGGAGTTGACGTTCATGAGGATAACGACCCGTACGTCAAGATTGCCCAAGATGCCATGTACGCAACTGGAAATGGTGGTGCACCCGTCAACAGCATCGTCGACATCTTTCCCCCTGGTAAGTTACGGATGCAACACAATTCTAACCCTCACTCTTTTGGTAACGTTGGCCTTTGTTCTAGCTCGTCATTTGCCCGTCTGGCTAGTTCGAGACTGGTCGCTGAAATTCGCGCGAGAATGGGGATGGGCTATACGCAAGTTGCATGACGTTCCATTTGCTGTTGCGCAGGAAGAGTTGGTGAGTGTATGCTCCTAGTCAAGTCCATGCCCGCAGCACTAACAAGTCAAGGCTCGCGGCAAGGACAGCCCTTCCTTCGCACATAGGTTATTGGAAACCTATTCCTCCAACGCCAAGAGAGGACTCGACAATGAATGGACACTTGACGACATCAAGGGAGCAGCAGGCGCCATCTTCATCGCAGGGGCCGATACGGTAACTTTGCTCCTCTCTGATATTTGATACACTGCTGACTCTGACTTGCACCAGACTTGGGCCACCATGGTCGTCTTTGTTTTGAACATGGTTCTCCATCCTGAGATTCAAGAAAAAGCGCAGGCCTGCATCGAGCGCGTGGTTGGGCTCGGTAGACTGCCCGATCTTTCAGACAGGCCATCCCTCCCATACATTGACCATATCGTTCAGGAAGTCTACCGGTAAGCTTCCTCTTGCTACTCAGGTCGAGACCCACGTGGGATAGCTTCTGACGAGAAAGAAACAGATGGTCACCATTGGCACCGTTAGGAATTCCCCACAAATCTCTTGAGAACGACGTCTATAACGGCATGTTCATCCCTAAAGGGTAGGTTCACTTGCCCCCCTTTCACCCCTCAACGGGCCGAAAAGCTGCATGCTTCTAGAAGGAAGTACTGACTGCTTTCCCCAGGTCTATTGTCTTCTTCAATTCAAGCGCAATGACTCAGGACGAGCGGGTGTACAAGGACCCCAAGTCTTTCAACCCGGACAGATATCAACCAGAGTCTTCTGGAGGCCATGGTGAGCCCTTGCCACTTGGCCAGTTTGGCTTTGGACGCCGAGTCTGCGTTGGACGCTTCCTGGCAGACAACAGTGTCTGGATAGCAGTTGCAACAATGCTTGCCACTCTCAAGATTGGTAAGAAAGTCGGACCAGACGGCCAAGTCATGGAGCCCAAGATTGCCTTCACCAATGGTGGAACCTGGTGAGTTTGTGTGCTGCTCCATAAGTGTCAAAACTTTTAGAATTCTGACGTCAAACCGCTAGTCATCCGGAACATTTTGAATGCTCCATAATACCACGCAGCCAAAGGGCACAGGAGTTGCTGCGACAGTCGGTCTCTTCTTGAAGAGCAAAAGACAAAGTGAGGCGGTCTAGCCCTCATGCCAACACACATTTACTAAGCTTTTAGGCTTCGGGTTGATGAAACCGTGCACAGTCGATTTCGAGGGGGAACCTGGACATTCAAAGTACGCATAGGAAATTCCTTGCATCTAAATGACGACTGAGTAAGTCGTGGCTTTGAGGTTCAAGACCTTACTCTCAGCGACGGCTGCTTTTCGTAGCCAAGTCAAGGAAAACCAAATGAACAATTGTTGAAGCCAACATAGCCGATGTTGCATCTGGACCGACTGGAGGAGCCACGTCCACGTCAATAATGCGGAGCCTGACACCATTTCTGAACAGGATTCTGAAAAAATGGGATTTTGTCATCCGGAACTTCTCCTAGACGTAAGGGTTTTGCCATTTTCTTCTGTCGATCTTATCAACTTCAGAAGGACGGGCTGCAGTCATATCAAGCCTGCGTCAGGGCTCCTCTCAACGAGGGTCCGGATCCGCCCCGAGACGAGTCTGATTGGAGCTTTGCCCACCACCAAGAAAGAAATATCTCTTGGCCCCAATTCAACGTATCCAACTTCTCCATGAGAACGCATGACGGGGATGAGTTTTCATCTTGTGCGAACCGTCACTCGACGTTACGGTGAAGAGGATAACGAGCGCTTGGAGAGTCATGTACACAAGCGTTTTGAGCGACGTTATTCGTCCCGTGTCAAACCACTGCATAAGCCATGTCACCCTCCATCCAAACCCTGACGGCAGGGAGAAAAACGTGGCAAAGAGTAGAATCTTTGTGACGGTAGGAAGGAGAGATCCCACGAGGCATCACGCAGTAAGTCAATGACCCGATGTCCGCGTCGAAAACGTGGCAGGCAGCGGGCAGACTACACAATGTCCTGTGCTAGCAGTGTCTCAATAGTCGAAACGCACCAAACCTTCAGGCTCGCACCGCATGAAGCTGCCACTCAGCACTGGCTGCTGCGATACTATTGTGAGGGTTTTCGAGATGCCCTATCGACAGGGTCACGACTCGCGGAAGTGGAAAAGAGCGGGAAGGAAAGGCTCTTCCTGCATGGAAAGATCTGGATCGCCAGCCGCGATGCAACGACTTAGATCTGGAATTACGCCAAATCCGCCGTATCAAAGGAATCATCGCAAGTCATGAGCCACGCGATGGACTGGGATCAAGCCCCCCGATCCTCCCTTGGGGGCTGAAGTCCAGGCGCGACGCTATTGACCATCCGCCCACCATTACGGGAACTCGGGGTTCGTTTCCTTTGCCTAAACGGGACGCAGATGCAGCTGATAGCTTGCTTGCACACATTTGACGTCGGCCAAGGATAGTGAAGACGCGACTTCTGCGTAATGGCTATCGTGACGGCCCGGAGGAAGTCATAGCCGTACAAGCTCAGCACGCCGTCGCAGACTTCTCAATCACTTGATGCGCGAAGCAGCGCGACTAATAATACCTGACCGCAAAAGACGGAAATTTCTTTACTGGGCTTGGCCTGACGGTCACCGAAGCTGTCCGCTCGACCCGAGTCCTAGCCTGCAAGGACTAGAGGCTGGTCAGCCCGGCAAGTGTATCTCGTTCCGAGGGAGATATACTAGGTGACAGGGTCTTGAGCTGTCAGAGTTTTGGTAAATGCTACACCTATACAGGCAGCTTTGCTTGGCCCGGGCAGTCCGTCGAGCTGATAAGAAGTGCCGTCGGGCGTTGCAGGCACGTGCGGCAAGACCGTGAGACAGTCCGACAAGCGGATTCCAAACCGACAATGAATAAGTGAGAGCACAAGGAAGGAGACACCGATCGGGCTCCATTGCAACAGCACGGCCAAAACCGGCGGGAGAAGAATTCCAGAATGCCGCCAAGTCCAGACGAAGGAACCCGACGACTTGGGGCTACTACGGTAAGGCAGTTAGGAATGTGCCAATGTGCCACGGTGCGTTTGACGGTGCGCTTGATGGTGCGAACTCTACGCCGTATCACCTAAAGCAGCGGCGGCGGTGGGATGAGACGGGCTGAAGGTCAGGCA